GAGAGGCGACCACAGCGCAGCGCGCGTGCAAAGCGGAGCGGCGGCTGGGGCGGCCGCCTCGCAGTCGCCCTCGAAAGTGGTCTGGCGCCCGCACACGTGAGCGCACGCCGCCCCCCTCCTCCCGGAGAGACGGGACGGCGACGGGTGCCCGCAGCCGGCGCACGAGCGGCGACAGTGTCGCCTGCCTGCCGAACCACGAGTAGGCAGCGCAGGGGCACCACGAGCAGCCACGCGGTGGTACCGGCGGCGCTCCCGGCGCCGCAGCGGCGGCGACAGCTCGGAGCTCAGCCGCACATCGCCTCGGGCCCACAGGCAGTGCAGCGGGCACGCGGCCGAGCACGCCTCCAGGCACGCCTCCGGAGCGTGCGCCGAAGTGAGCACCAACGCCGCTCGCCGACCCGCCGTCGAGCGTAGCGGACTGGGCCGCGGCCCGGCCGGCAGCACGCGTCGCCAAGGGGGAGGGGCGAGCGTGCTCCACCGACGGCAGGAGATGCTGTCAGGTCCAGTCGCCGGGCGCCGGGACGAGGGGAGCGCGCTGCCACCGAGGCGGATCGCACTGCAGACCGCCACATCGCTGCAGAGCATGTCGGCGGCGGGCGAACCCCGGCGGCACGTTGCGCGGAGTGAGACGGCAGCGGCGGCGGCGTGCGAAGGCGCCGCGGAGCGGAGGGCGCCGGGCCAGCGGGAGGCTCGCTCCCCGGGCAAGCGACTTGCCGGGCACTGAGGGCGACGCTCTCGTCGGCGCGGCCGGAGAGGCAACCGCGGCGCAGTGCCCGCTCAAGTAGAGCGATGGCGGTGGCGGCAGCCCCGCCGGCGCCCTCGAGAGTGGCGCAGCCGCACACACACGCGAGCGCTCGCCGCCCCCCCCTCAAAGAGGCGGGGTGGTGACGGGCGCCCGCGGCTGGCGCACGGGCGGCGATGGTGTCGCCCGCCCGCCGAGCCGCGCGTGGGCAGCGCAGAGGCAGCGCGAGCAGCCACGACATGGCTCGGTAGCAGCGCCGCGCCCAGGGCACCAGCGGCGGCGGCAGCTCGGAGCCCGGCCGCAGATCGCCTCGGGCATACAGGCACAGGCAGTGCGGCGGGCATGCGGCCGGACACGCCTCCAGAGCGCGCGCCGAAGCGAGCATCGGCACCGCTCGCCGAGCCGCCGTCGAGGCAGCGGACTGCGCCGCGGCCCGGCCGGCAGCGCGTCGCCAAGCGAGAGGCGAGCGTGCCACGCCGACGGCAAGAGGTAGCGCCGGGTCCATTCGCCGGGAGCGGGATGAGGAGAGCGCGCTGCTGCCACCGCGGCGGATCGCACCGCAAAACGCAGCGTCGCCGCAAGCGCGTCGGCGGCAGTGAGCACGAGCGTTTCGTCGCGCAGAACGAGACGGCAGCGGTGGCGGCATGCGAGGGCGGCGGCGGCGCCGCAAGCGGACGCGACGGGCCAGGAGGCTCTCGCTCCTCGGGCAGGAGCCTCGCCGAGCACTGAGCACGACGCCCTCGTCGGCGAGGCTGGAGAGGCGAGACCACGGCGCGGCGCACGCTTAGAGCAGAGCGGCTGCGGGGCAGCGGCCTCGCCGTCGTCCGGCCGCACGCACCCGCACACACGCGCGCGCCGCCCGCCGCCCTTTCCATAGAGACGGGGTGGAAATGAGCGGCCGCGGCTGGCCCGCGAGTGGCGATGGTGCCGCCCGCCGGCCGAGCCACGTGTTGGCAGCGCGCAGAGGCCGCGCGAGCGGCCACGCCGTGGTGCTGGCGGCGCTGCGCCCGGTGAGTGAGTGAGCGACGCCGACAGCTCTGAGCTCAGCCGCACATCGCCTCGGGCACGCAGGCAGTGCAGCGGGCGTGCAGCCGAGCACGCCTCCAGAGCGTGCGCCGAAGTGAGCACCAACGCTGCTCGCCGACCCGCCGTCGAGCGTAGTGGACTGGGCCCCGGCCCGGCCGGCAGCACGCGTCGCCAAGAGGGTGGGGCGAGGGTGCCCCACCGACGGCAGGAGATGCTGTCAGGTCCAGTCGCCGGGCGCCGGGACGAGGGGAGCGTGCTGCCACCGAGGCGGATAGCACTGCAGACCGCCACATCGCTGCAGAGCATGTCGGCGGCGGGCTAGCCCCGGCGGCACGCTGCGCGGAGTGAGACGGCAGCGGCGGCGGCGTGCGAAGGCGCCGCAAAGCGGGAGCGCCGGGCCAGCGGGGGGCTTGCGCCCAGGGCAAGTTCCTCACCGAGCATTTGGGCGCGACGCTCTCGTCGGCGCGGCCGGGGAGGCGACCGCGGCGCAGTGCCCGCTCAAGTAGAGCGGCGGCGGTGGCGGCGGCCCCGCCGGCGCCCTCGAGAGTGGCGCAGCCGCACGCACACGCGAGCGCTCGCCACCCCCCCCCAGAGAGGCGGGGTGGTGACGGGCGCCCGCGGCTGGTGCACGAGCGGGGATGGCGTCGCCCGCCCGCCGAGCCGCGCGTGGGCAGCGCAGGGGCAGCGCGAGCAGCCACGCCACGGCGCGGTAGCAGCGCCGCGCCCGGTGCACCAGCGACGGCGGCAGCTCTGAGCCCGGCCGCAAACCGTCTCGGGCATACAGGCAGTGCAGCGGGCATGCGACCGGGCACCGCCTCCAGAGCGTGCGCCGAGACGAGCACCCAATACCGCTCGCCGAGCCACCGCCGCGGCAGCGGACTGCGCCGCGGCCCGGCCGGCAGCGCGTCGCCAAGCGAGAGGCGAGCGTGCCACGCCGACGGCAAGAGGTAGCGCCGGGTCCACTCGCCGGGAGCGGGACGAGGAGAGCGCGCTGCTGCCACCGCGGCGGGTCGCGCCGCAGAACGCAGCGTCGCCGCAAGCGCGTCGGCGGCAGTGAACACGAGCGTTTCGTCGCGCAGAACGAGACGGCAGCGGTGGCGGCATGCGAGGGCGGCGGCGGCGCCGCAAGCGGACGCGACGGGCCAGGAGGCTCTCGCTCCTCGGGCAGGCGCCTCGCTGAGCGCTGAGCACGACGCCCTCGTCGGCGAGGCTGGAGAGGCGGGACCACGGCGCGGCGCACGCTTAAAGCAGAGCGGCTGCGGGGCGGCGGCCTCGCCGTCGTCCGGCCGCACGCACCCGCGCACACGCGCGCGCCCGCCACCCTTTCCACAGAGACGGGGTGGCAATGAGCGGCCGCGGCTGGCCCGCGAGTGGCGACGGTGCCGCCCGCCGGCCGAGCCGCGCGTGGGCAGCGCGCAGAGGCCGCGCGAGCGGCCATGCCGTGGTGCTGGCGGCGCTGCGCCCGGTGAGTGAGTGAGCGACGGCGACAGCTCTGAGCTCAGCCGCACATCGCCTCGGGCACACCGACAGGGCGGGCATGCGACCAGGGCGTGCGCCGGAGCGAGCGCCAACGCCGCTCGCCGAGCTGCCGTCGAGGCAGTGGAAGGCGCCGCGGACTGGGTCGCGGCGCGATCGGCAGCACGCGCCGGCAGGGGCGAGCCGAGCGTGCCCCGCCGACGGCGGAGGTGTTGCCGGGTCCACTCGCCGGGCGCCGGGACAAGGGGAGCGCGCTGCCGCCACAGCGGCGGGTCGCACTGCAGACCGCCACGTTTCCGTAGAGTAGTCGGCGGCGGGCGATTCCCGACAGCACGTCGCGTGAGGCGAGACAGCAGCGGCGGCGGCGTGCGAGGGCAGCGGCGCCGCCGCAAAGCGGGCGCGACGGGTCAGGAGGCTCTCGCCCTTCGGGCAAGCGCCTTGCCGCGAGCGCCGAACCCGACGCCCTCGTCGGTGCGGCTGGAGAAGTGATTCTGGCGCAGCGCGCACTCGAGGCGGCGGCGGTGGCGGCAGCCTCGCCGTCGCCCTCGAGAGTGGTCCAGCCGCACACACACGTGAGCGCTCGCCGCCCCCCCCCCCCCCCCAAAAAGAGGCGGTCGGGCGATGAGCGCCCGCGGCTGGCGCACAAGCAGCGATAGTGCTGCCCGCCCGCTGAGCCGTGAGTGGGCAGCGCCCAGGCAGCGCGAGCAGCCACGCCGCGGCGCTGACGGCGCCGCGCCCGGCGCACCAGCGAGTCGCACACCGCCTCGGGCCCACGGGCAATCTGTGCAGCGGGTGTGCGGCCGAGGATGCCTCCGGAGCGTGCATCGAAGTGTGCGCCAACGCCGACAAACATGGCGATCTGGCGATGCGCAGCGGCCGCGCGGCGCTCCACATGGCAGTCGCGGCCCAGCCAGAAGAGTCGGGAAGCCGCAGCGGGCTTCGGGCTGATGCGGGCCACGAGCGGGCGCCGCTGCGAGCACGGCAGCCACGGCAGAGCCATGCGAGGATCCCGTCTCCAGCGAAACTCCCCTTCCTCAAAATCAATCCCAAACTTCGACGAGGCGAGAGAGCGCGCACAGACTGACGTCAGCTACGCTCCTGAAGGACACCTCTGAAAGGCACCTTCGTCTGAGGACGGCGTCTGAAGACGACGGCCTCTGGTCAGATTCGGTCTCGTCGCTAGACTCCGATTTCTCTTTGTCAGGCCATGTGCCGCTCGCTCGTCCGCCCAAGTGACTTGGACGCGCGGTCGAGGGCACCCCACCGTTCCTGGGGCGCGCTGGCGCTCACCGCTGGCGCTCACCAGCGGTCACCCCCCACCCATCCACCCTTTTGTCTTTGAGGCTGTCGCTCCGAGAAAACTTGTCTCGCAGCTGCGAGAAATTACCTTTCAAACGAGACCGCTTAATACATACTCTCGCCAACGCACGCTGTAGATACATGTATATTGGCACACGACGGCGCGCGCACGCTCTCACGTATACAGTCACTCTCTCTCCGCGCGCCGCGACGTGCTGTATATAAATTACTCATGTGCATGAACAAAATATCCTCCTAAGAAAATTGGCTGCGCCTCCGCTCTGCACTGCCTCCATGGCACGGTCCTCAGCGGCCTCCGCAGGCTCCGACGGTGGCTCGAGCTTGGAGCGAAACCCGGTGGGAAAGATTGTTGAGCTAACTAAATTGCAGCACAATGTCAATGAGCGCAAAAAATAACCCCTGGATCTGTATGCGCGCGCACATCCGAACAAGAGGCCTATGTACCGCCGACGTCAGTACCAGTCGGGAGAGGTACCGTATGCTCATCCGCCGTCTCCACAACGACGCGCACCGGCAGCCTGTCCGGATCGCGCAGTAGCTCATGGTCGCGTTCGTAGTGGAAGAGAGCGCTGCCGCTGGGCCCCCACCACCCGCACGCATTCACCTCAATCAGCTTTGCGCGGCCGCTTGAGCTGTCCACGTGCGCATCGACGACGCAGTCCGCGTACGGCGAGAGGGGCGCGAGCTCCTGCCAAAGGCGGATCAGTGATGGCACGGCGGCGCGCGCCGATGCCTCCGTGTGGCCAGCAGCGCGTCGCCAAGTTTGCTGCGAGATGCCGGCCACACGCCCGCCGCATACGATCAGGCGCCACTCGTTGTGCGCGCTGATGCCGTGCTCCCACGGCTGGACGACGAGGTAGCGCGCGCGACCAGCCGCTCCGCCGCTGAGCGACTGCCGCAGCACATCCTCGCTCGAGGTGAGCTCCGTCAGCGCGCTCTGCGCGGTGGCGTGCGGTCGAAGCGGCACGTCGTTCTTCGCCGACTTCTCTGCTGTCTTGACAAACGCTTGGCCGCCGACGGCACGTATCACCTCTGTGAGAGCACTGATCAGAGCCGGCAAACCCTCCAGATCCTCTTCGTTGAGTTTCCTTCCGTTGTACACGGCGTGCCGGATCGCGACTGACTCCAGAACGTCACGGTCGGAAGGCGCGAGAGCGACCAGATGCGCTGCTGGCTGCATGTGTCGCCAGTGATGAAAGGCAAAGCCGGCGTTATATGCATTGTAGAGCGCGCCGCAACCCGCATGCGTGCGAATCTCGGCCGCGTGAGGCACGTCAATCGGAGCCTCGCTCACGGTGACCACCACGGCACCGCTCATGAGAGCTCTATGCTCTGGCGCGAGCGAAGCCCACCAACTCGGGTCGACGCGCACACCATCACAGTCTGCCCGAAACGGCGCCCACTCGTGCAGGTTGCAGCTGTTGCAGACGTCACCGCCGTCTTCAGGAGCAGCACGCACTGCAGCAGCGGCGACGGTCTGCGGTACAACCGAGCCTCCGAACTCATGCACGACACATGCAGCGGGCATCATCGGGTCGCCTGCCAGCCGATCGCCGCAATCGTTACCAGGCGCTGTTCCTAAAGCGAGTGCAGGCGACATGAGGGCGACATCGATCTCAGCCATGCCGCGGCTAGGACGCCAAAAAATAAATCCCCGTAAATTTTCGTTTTCTTTCTTTGTTTCGGCGCCGGGCGTAGAGTGGGCTTCGTCACCCAAGATAAGTACGGTCTGGGACATCTCAGACTTGACACACTGGGCCAGGAGATGTGGTGAGGTGGGAAGCCGGCTTTGTCGGCACCTGGCGTGTGAGTGACACACACACACACACACACACACACACACACACACACAGAGAGAGAGAGAGAGAGAGAGAGAGAGAGAGAGAGAGAGAGAGAGAGAGAGAGAGAGAGAGATTTAGCAATATCAGACAACTCTAACACTCACACGTCATTTGGGGCCTGGAGCCCTGCCCTGTTCACGCGCGCGCGTGACGTGCAGACAGGGTTGCCAGGTGAGAGCGAATGGCGCGGTTCACGCCTCGCACAACAGAGAGAGAGAGATGCGCTCTGCATTGTGTCACACACACACACACACACACACACACACACACACACACACACACACACACACACACACACACACACACACACACACGCACACACACACACACACACACACACACACACACACACACACACACACACACACACACACACACACACACACACACACACACACACACACACACACGTGTGGGTGAGTACTCACCTGGGCGTGTCGCGATGACGTGCCAAGCGCCTTCTTGTTCGGTCCCCCCCCCCTGTTCCCCATGCTTGCTGCCTTGCGGCGGCCAGCGCTTGCCTCGCGCCACACCGCGCTGCCCGCTGGCAGCGCGAGGCTGCTACGCCGCGCCGCGAGCCACGTGGCGCTTCTGGGCTGCGTCGGCTGGTGCTGGGAGCGCGCCGACCGCGCCATGCACATCGAGATGCTTCAGGACAAGCTGGGCGGCGTGGCCACGGTGGAGGCTGCCGTGCTCGGCCAGTCCACGCCGAGCGAGTGCCCTCTGTGCGCTGCTAGCAATCCTTGGATCTTGGGTACGATTGTGAGCGCCGCCGCTCATAGAGTCATAGTCCTACAAGATGTAGGATTGCGAGCGCTACTGCTCGCAATCGGAGGCATGTTGCTCGGATTGTGAGCATTGGATCATTCATCCATTGCTGCTCGCAATCCTAGACTTTGCTCGGATTGTGAGCGCGCTGGTAGTAGTCGTACGTAGGCGTCACCAGTCACCTTGGGAGCGGAGCTGCTCTTAGTCCTAGAAGATGTAGGATTGCGAGCGTAGGTGCTAGCAATCGTACAGAGATGCTACGATTGTTTTGCCGACCGACCTCCGAGCCCAGATAGCGCACCGTGATCCTCGTCGGCATCCGCGCGGGGGCGCCCTGCTGCCGGGCCCCTGGCGGCCCGCCACGTAGGTGCGACGTGCCCGCCGAAACATCGATTCAAACAAACGACGTTCACAGCGCCAATTCGGCCCCAGCTCTTCGGCTCGCTCCGCTCGCCGGTGAGTTGGTTGGTTGCTGGCAGCACCCCAGCACTGGGGGGTCCTGAGAGCTGTTGGTTGCCGCTCGATTCACAGCACTGTGCGAAACTAGGGTTGCAACGGTAAGACGGGGTTCTCTCAATCCTACATCGGGGTTTCGCGAGGAGAGAGGAGAGCGTCCAGAGATATGCCCGGCGGGCCGAGCGCACTGGATCGCCTGATCTCGCGCCTCGGCGACGTCACAAATGGCATGACTCCAAACGGCGAGGAGACCCTCCTCGGGCGCTTGGCCGCCCGCCTCCGCCAACTCGAGCGCCGGATCGACGACGAGTCGGCGGCGCTGCTCTCGCGGCTGACGGCGCGGGACGAGGAGCTGCTCCGCTCGGCCCGCCGGCTGTACCACGCCTGCTCGGTGGTGCCGTGCCTGCTCTACTACCTCCGCACCTCCGAGTCTCCCACCAAATTCCCGGCGACCATCTCCTTCACGATCCGCAAGGGCGTGCCTCGCTGGACGCACCACGCGCTGTGGCTGGCGGGCTGGGCGTGCATGGGCCGCGTCTTCCAGTCGGCAGGCTCGGCCGCGACGCGCCGCTTCGCCGCCGCCATGTTTGCGACTGGAATCTGGACAACCTTCATCTTTCGGCTCGGCGGCGGGCTCTTGTCCGACGCGGCGCACCTGCTCGGCGCCGCCGCCTACATGGTCGACCACGAGGCGCTTTCTTGCGCCGTCGCGCCGCCCTCCCGGCGGATCGCCCTCCGCACTGTCGATGATTGATGACAGTTCATGATGAACAGGTGCTGCTCCGCCTCTGGGCCGTCGCGCCGCCCTACCGCGCCGCCTTCCGCGCCTCGCTCGGCGTGCTGCTCGCCGCCTTCTGGCGCGAGACTAGCCGAGATCTGGCACCTAGCCGAGACTTGCCCGAGACCTCTAGCCGAGACGAGGGAGCACGCGCAACAACAACCACACGAAACGAGTACTGCAACTCCTCCGGCACGTCTGCTCGCGGGATCACAGCCCATCTTCCCTTAGCCCTAGCCACAGCCCAACCCCCGCCCCAACCCTAGGCGCGGCCACCTGCTCGAGCGGAGGCACGGCATAAGCGCAGAGTCCTTTGCCTCGCCTGCAGTGCGGCGGCGGCAGATTGCGGCGGCGCCGCGGACTGCGCAGAGGTGCCTGCTCATCTCGGGTCATCTCGGGTGATCTCAGATGTCATCTCGGGCCATCTCGGGCCATCTCATGTCGTCTCGCGCGTGATCTCGGATGTGATCTCGGGTGCGATCTCGGCCGCAGGAGCCTCTTCCGCGCCGACCTCGCCATCATGCTCTCCGAGAACTTGCTCTTCTCCGCCTTCGTGCAGGGCGGCCGCACCGGCGTCAGCCGCCGCGGTCGGGAGTTGGCCGAGACTGAGCGAGGTTGGACCATGCGTTAGGCATGCTCTCCGGTGTCGAGGCGCGGCGCGGCGGCGGCGGCGGCAGGAGTGGGGGCGGAGCTGGCGACGAGACTAGTGGTCGTTGCGAGGACGGAGGCGGCAAGGGCAAGGCCGTGGGAGAGTTTCGAGAGATACTGCACCACTAGTATGTAGTAACATGACTAAAATTGATTGAAAGCATTCACCGAAGAAAGAACTCTTAGACGTGCACAAACAAACGCGCCCCCCCCACACGCGCAAGAACCCCTATTTTAGGGTGCCCACAGGACCCAAAAAAGAAAATAGCTTTCTCTCGCACCGCCTCAACCCTCATTTTTACCCATCTCACAGTAGAGGTGTCCGTTTTTATTTATTTATTTAAAAGGGGACCGCACGAGAGGCAAATCTCGAATCTGATGTTGGAGTGTTCCAATAGGAGCGAGGCCTCTTCCGTTGGGGGACCGAGTGAATAGGAAACGAGGATTTCCCATTGTGTCCCCTTCGCGTGCGAGCGTGACACTGCACTTTGCGCCGAGCGCCCGCGGCTCAGACCTTGTCGCTTGTGCAGGCCTACACCCTCATTGGGCGCACCGGTCCGGACCGATGGCGCTCGGTGTGGAGCAAGCAAGACCCCCCCCCCATCGGCGCGCGCCCGAGGTTCAAACGGCCGCCAGGAGCACCAAGAGGACTCCTCATGGCTGTGCCCAAGTGGGCTTCGACCGGCCTCGGCTGGGGGGGCGGGTTGTCCCGGTTGCGGACGCGTTCTGCAGCCCCCTGGGCGTGGGTCAGCACCCCAAAACTGCCCCTCGGCGGCATACAGCACTGCCAGCCAGCCTATTCCTCCTCCTCAAGGGCTGTACTATGGCCATATTGCGCCGCCTCCTACTGGCAGCCGGGCGGGCGCGCGCCGCGCGCGCCTCGGCGCGCGCACGGCTCGCAACATTCGAACGAGTACTGCCGCCTGGCCGCCTCAAGGCTGCCGGGCGGCAGTACTCGCCTCGCAAGGCGCGCACCGGCTGCTCTGGCTGCTGCGCCGGCGGCCGCTGCGCTGGCCGCTGCTGCGCTGGCCGCTGCTGCGCTGGCCGGCGAGCGGTACGACCGCCGGCGGCCGCCGCACCCGCGCCTTCCCTCGCCGGCGCCGTCGCGCCGTGCGCGCCCAACTCTGCTGGCACACGGCACGCGTCGTCACTCAGCCGCGGAGTCGAGAACAGGCGGTGCAGCGCGCGAAGCGCGCGCGATCTCGTACTTTCAAGGCTGGATCCGGCCATTCCAAGGGTATACCTTTGACAATCCCCAGCGTCCCTCCCTCCTAGTCACAATCTCAATATCTCGACTCCCCAACAGCAACACGAAGTTTTCCTTTTTTTTTTGGGCCATGTTGCGTGTGGGCCCTGGCGATATTTTAAATAGAGGTGTCGAGGCCTGTCGAGGCCTGTCGAGGCCTGTCGAGGCCTGTCGAGGCCTGTCGAGGCTGAAACCATGCTTGTCCGTGTCGAGGGGTGTCGAGGGGTGTCGAGGGTGTCGAGCGTGTCGAGCGTGTCGAGCGTGTCGAGCGGGTGTCGAGTTGCGTGGTGGCGCAAGGTGTCGAGCGGTGTCGAGCGTCCGTGTGGCTAGCGCGGGGCTATACTCAATAGCAGAACTGCTGTAACCAATGAAACCATCCTCGCCTCTCCCCTAGCTCTCCCCACAGCACACTGCTCCACAGTAGAACACATGAGCTTGCGTCCGAGAGAGGACCGGTTGGAACGCGCAGGCCTGGTGGGGGCCTGGTGGGGGCCTAGGCATCCAGCCTGTTGTTCGCAGCGATCTGCATGGCAGCAAAGCTGCCATCAGCGGGGGTAGCCGCGGCAGCCGCGGCAGCGGCACCCTCCCAGGGCGCCTCCCCTGCCGACACCGCCGCCGTCGCCGCCAGCGCCGCTTTCCGGCGGGCTCGACGGCGGCTGGCCCGGCGGCGAAGGGGGGGGGGTAGGGGGGGATATTAATGTTTTGCAGTCAGA